GAAGGAATGTTTGAAATCCGAAGAAATAACACTGAAGCATTAAAATCAATTTGTTCAGATGCTACAATTATATATTTTACTTTCCATGCTTTTCTTAAAAAAATATGAAAAACATGGAAGAAAACTGTCAGTGTGTATAGGTTTGTGCTATAGGCACTTAAAAAGTTCCTTGCTTGATAGGGTAATGCATTTCCTAACACAAATACTTAAGATTCTCTTTGCTGCATGCAGCTTCCTTTTCTCTTGCATGGGGGCAATGCCTGGATCATCTAAAGTCAAAGTATTTTTTTCTTTCAGAACTATTGTGTGTATACCAAAATCATGGTATACCCACTTACCTACTACCAAATTTGGTAGTGCAAATGTTTGCCACTGTGAGGCAGGAATCAAATAAAACTGTAGTAGAAATCTTAAAATCGGTGCAACACAATGTGGAAGAAGGTAAGACCCTCCCCAGGCACACATACATACACAAAGTTCTGCCCCTGACTACATGTAGATGCATGCACAACCCTTGGCTGCTAAAAGATTGTCCACCCTAGCAATAAAACCAATCAAGCAAAAATCGTACAACTGATTACAATTAATTGTCTTTAATCAGGCAAGAATCCTAGTTTTCAGTTCATTAAAGTTCTGGTTTCCCAAATGCAAGTGTATAGCAGATAATGCACAGAATCCTTTTTCCAAAACAATTACAGCAGGGGAATTTGAACAAGGCTGATTAGAACTCCATCTACAGAGATGCCTCTTCTCTTTCTTAACTTATTATCACTGCTATCCCACTACTACTGTTTCCTTATTCCAACCCCAAACATTTTTTATTGGAAGTCTCCTGCTTGTAAAAGTCAACAGAATTTACTTCCAGGGCAAAATAGTGAAGGCTGTAATGTGAAAAAACAATTTGTATGACTCTGAATACATTCTGTGCCCAACTTATCAAAAGAAGGTGCATTATTTTAAATAGTGCCATATCTACCACAAACCCTTCTCTATTTTACATGGATCTTATCACCTGAATAATATGTTAGTCTCCCTTCCCTGCAAAATTTTGGCATTGGACAGCTGACAGCCTCCGTTTCCATGAAGAAATACTGAGAGACATATGTCTTCTATTATTCTGAATGTTACTGAAAAATACTGTAAGTTGTTATATCTAACAAATGTTGAATGACAACTGAATTGCAGCTTTCCCTTTCAGCTTACAATATTTTAAAGACAACCCAACATAGCAAAACATTTCACAATGTATATGATGATTAAGCAGTGTAAGTAGTAGTTTTCCCATTTTATCCCTCTGATTTTCTCACCACTTCCGTATCTAAATATAAATAATTAGAACACTATGCTATGAAAATGAGTTGTAAATGCTAATATATACTGTGTAAAATTATAACCTAGGAGTACACAAACTTTTCAAATATCCCAATTTTTATGGGTCGTATTCTGGCACTTTTGGTGATTAGATCCTGCTGAGATTTTTCAAATAGATTAAAATATCAGGGAGAAATCCAAATCTACACTATTACAGTTGTAATAATATCATCACAAAGACATCATGCTATCTCATTTATTCTCCACAAGACTATTCTGAAATATTTAAAATCTATTTATGTGGCTACAGAAAATAATGTGCTGTTTTTAAAAAAATATTTGAGACCACTGCGTCTGTGGAATATGTCATTTAGTCAGATCTATGTGTAGTGCCTGTTTAAAAGTCTAAAGTGACTGCCAAAGTGATTCTGAACATTTTTTTTGTTTCTTAAATACTCTTCAGTAAGATGTACAATTTCCTCATTCTTCCCTAACTAAACTCCTATGTACCATTTTGAAATTAATTATAACCTACTTTATGTAAACAGCATACAGTATTATGCATACCTTAAATGTATTAATTTCATCTTACACTGTACATGCAAAGGCACTGATAATACCAGTTCTATGAAACTGTTAAGTTCCTTGGCTTCCGAAATTTCATAAGTCTTAAATTTGGTTCTTAAACAGATCATATAAAAATTCCTGAAAGCCTCAGATAATTAGTTTCATTTAAAGTGTGTCTCTGCCAGATCCAGTTGGCTTATTAAGAATGTAGTCTAAACCACAGTAAAAGTATGAACATGAGGGTTACATGATATTACACATCTCTTTATATGTAAATCACCAGGATAATAATGAGGAATGCAGCAGTTCAAGGATGCTCAGTTAAAACAAAGCCTGTTATACACACTTAGGTCAAGTTTTTAAGTTGACCATTCCCAAGAACTAATTAAAAAAAAATCATTTCAAATAAGTTTGAGTAACTGAATCCGCCATCGCAAAGTTTCAAAAAACCTTACTCTGAGCATGGTTATAACTTCATGCCCCTTATTTTTACATACATAAATAAACGTGAAGTTCACTTCGGTCTCTCTGTTAAGAAATAAGAAAAATTATAATCTAGCCCTTATGTAAAGGGATGGATGAGTGTGATTGTCCAACCTGAGGCTAGTTATAATTAAAACAGTTTTGCTAACTCAACTGAAGGTAGCAATCAAAATATCATTTGGTCATTATATCCAATCAACAAACAAGCTACCCAATGAACTGACAAAACTTTCTACTATAGTCCAAGGAATTAAGATAGTCTGCAGTGGAAATCACAAGCAAGACTTAAAGATTCAAGAACTGCTTCCAAGAGCATGTTTAGATTATATATAAAGTTTATGCTCACTTGAGCTATAAATGTCAATGCAAAAATCACACATAATCTGTAAAGGATTAACTGTTGTCCTGTATGCTTTGACTTCCCACTTTCCCAACATGTCATTTTCAAGACTTCCATTTTGTACTGTAATTGTATTCTATGTTAGCCAAACCATTATTTTTATAATACTCAAGAGATGACAACAGGTATTTCAAGTGATGATGCAGAGACAGCTTATTAGGCCTTGAAATTTTTCTGAGCACATCCATGTAGCAGAGGACTGAATAGCTGGTTGATGAATGCTGATGTAGTGGATGAATCCTTCATCCTCTCATCAACAGTGCTGAACTACAAAAAAGTGTTATTTGAAAAACAAAGCAATTCAGTTAATGGCTTTCATTCTACATGACTACAGAAATTACAAAATAAAGAATTTAATTAAATATGGAAGAGCCAGCAAAGTTTTAAAAAATAACTTACTTTAAGACCCAATATTTTTCCTTTACTTGCAAGACTAGGTTTCATTTTCCATAGATAATGCAGGATTGCTCATACCTTTAAAAAAAAGATGCTCTTAAGCAATGGCTTCTAACTTTGTTTTAATTAAATAGGCTTATAAACACAATTTAAATGTGTCCAAGATACAACTGTTAACACCTAGTTCACAGATAACCTTTATTAAAACACATGGTGCAAAGAATAATACAGAATCATACAGAATCTTTGCATAGTAACTTTAAACTTTACAGAGGCTAGAATTTTTCTGTTAAAAATTCAGCTAAGCATGTTGGTAATGTGATAATTATAAGTGGCTGGTGCATATATCGTGTTCTTATTCAAAGAAGAATCAGTTCTTGCATCACACTAAAATATGGCTTATTTATATTTATTTATTTAATTTATAAGCTGCTTCACTTGTCTAGGCAACTGTAGGTAATGTGCAATGTATTAAAACAAACAGTAATAAGTAACAAAAAACTATATATATTACTATATCAGGGAAGGAAACACCAAGAACAAAGAACTAAAATCTCAGTATCAGTGCAGGGTCACAAAGCACCCTGCCCCAGGACCTCCTGAAAAAGCCATATTTTAAGGGCTTTCCTAAGTGACAACAGGATTGGGGCTCTGCAGACTTCAGCGGAGGGACTATTATCTCACAGGGCAGATGTGAGACGTACCACAGAAAAGGCGCATCTCTGAAATCCCATTAGATGACATAATTTTAATGACTGGACCTGGACCTAGGAGATTTCCTAGATCTAATAGGATGGACAAACATAACTGGAGAGAGAGAGTTCCTCACATAAGCAAGGCCTGAGCCATGAAGGGCTTTCTAGATGACCAGTATCTTGAACACCACCTTGAAGCTGACTGACAACCAGTGCACCTCACAGAGCAGAGGCATTATCTGGGTGGACCAAGGTGTGCCCATAATCACTCACACTGCTGCTTTCTACATGGCCTATACCTTCTGAGTGGAGTTCAAGGACAGCCCCATGTAAAGCGTGTTGCAATAGTTCAACTGCAAGGTGACTAAGGCACAAGTGACTTACAACTAGGGAAAGGACATAATTGTGCACAATACAGATCTGTGCAAAGGCACTCCTGGCTGTGGCTGCCATCTGGGGAAGTGCAACCTTGTCAAGAACTAAAGTTGAAAAGTCCCCAGAAATGGAATATCCATAAATCTCCTGCCACTCAGTCTCACTAGGTTTGAACCTGAGTCTGTTTCTCCCCATCTAGACCCTAACAGTCTCCATACATTAAGACTGAACCTTGATATCGCTTGGTCAGCCAGGATTGATATATATAATTGGGTATCATCTGTGTGTTGATGGCACCTGACCCCATGCCAGCAGATGACCTTGCCCAGCAGCCCCATATAAATCTTAAATAATGGTGGGGAGAAGTCAACTCCTGAGAAATCCCATAAAGAAGGCTTAATTCCCCTCCTCCCAACACACTGAAACTGTCCAGAAAAAAGAGGGGAATCACTGTAAAACAGTGCCCCCAACTCCCAAACCCTGGTATCAGCCCAGAAGGAAATCACAGTGGTACAGAAGGCTGCTGAGAAGTCAAGAAGAACCAGGAGAGTTGCATCATTCCTGTCCTGCCAGAGGTCATCCAGAAGTGCAATCAATGCTGTTTCAAGTATTATATCTCAGCCTGAAACCTGAGTGAAAAAGGTCCAGCTAATCTGCTTCCTCCAGAGTCCTCTGGAGCTGCAGCCAACTACCTTCTTAACAAGCTTCCCTAAAAAGGGGAGGCTGGAGACTGAACAAAAATTGTCCAATATTGTTGGGTCTAGTGATTGTTTCTTGAGGAAGGGGTGTACCACCATTAGTGGTATTAGTAGAACCAAGACATCTATTCTCTATAATTGTACACAGAATTCATCTATTCTTATTTACTTCTGTATACCATTTACAGTCAATAAATTAAAAAAAAATCACCAGAGGGAAAAACTGAATAATTTTCACTCATTTCTTCCCAACGAAGGGAGTTCCCCAAAGGAAGTGGAGTGTCAAAGGTCTGAACACATTATATCAAAATATGTGAACATTCCAAACATTCAGCTTGGTAACCTCAAATGCTTTCTTTTCAGCTTACAAGCCATTTTTAAAACTTGTATTATTAGAGAAATATTGTAACAATTTCTTACCTAGTTTGTTCTTTTCAGTGTTTGCATTAGTTTCTGTCCAAGATTGAGGATCAGTAAGAAGGTGGCTTTGGGAATCTCGTAAAGGCTTAGCAGGAAAATGATGACTATTCTCACTATAAAAAAATGGTTAAAAAAGGTTGAATGAGAAGCAATTCCATGAATTGAATTATTAATGAGGTTGCCTGGGGAGCTGTCTGAGTTGAACTCGATTCCTAGTAACAACCGGGACACTCCCATATTATTTTCTTGCCAATAATGCAGAGGTAGTTTGCTGTTAGATAAGGAATTTCCTTATGCCAGTCTATACCTGCTGGTCATTTTATCCTTTAAGTTTTCCAAGAGAGAAATATTTTACTTATTTTGCATGTTTATTGCCAGTAAATCACACACATAGTTAATCAAGGCTTTCATAGGTTAGTGAATTGCATATAATGAATGAGCTTGTTTTTTCAGTACTTCAAATACACACAGACAGGAACACTGCTGGCCTCATATTATTAGTGATAACCTCTTCCAATTATGTAAGAATCTTGGGAAATAGATTGCTGAGAAATAACTTCAGAAAACTAAAATAGATTGCTGAAAATGTATTGCCTCACAAAATGAGGAGCAATTCACAATTATTCTGCTTTAGCAATATAACAGCTTTAGCAATATAGAAGCTTTTCTATTTTGCCTTATGATTATTGAGAACTTGTAAAAATAATACGGAAGAATAGTATGCATCTAATTGCAAGTGTGAAATAGAAACTCTTTAAGTGATTTTTCTCTCTACAATATAGAACAAATACCCAGACTGTTCCATGGCATTTGGCATTGAGTATCAATAATATATATTACAGTAATTCTTGTTTAGTGACCACAATTGGGACTGGCAACTTGGTAGTTAAGCGAAGTGGTCACTAAGTGAAACTGCAACTGTGCTTACGATTTTATTTCAGCTTTCCTTTGCGTTACAAACCTACGAAGGTCGTAAATGCGAGGATTGGTCGTAAAGTTACTTTTTCATTACTGTTGTAACTGTAAACGGTTGCTAAATGAGGCAGTCACTAAACTACCGGTATAATATTGCCTCTTAGATCTTTAAACCTACATTTTCAGGGTCAAGAGCTTTCACATGAACACTGGCTTTGGACATTGTTCAGCATGGCTTGTAACAGCAACCTCTACAAGCACACCCAAAAAACAAAACACCTCTCCCCTTTTGTGTTTCAGCAGTTGCAATAATATGCAAAATGTATTATAAGCATGGCCATAAGAGTGACCATCTCCAATTTTTATGGCTTAAATGCTTTTGTTATGTGAACAGATTAGCACCTGAAAACAGACAATGAGAAAATGAAATGTATCAGCCATGTGTACATACTGCCAAGTCAAAAATGTTTTAACTCTGGTTTGCTGAAAACCACATAGGTCTTATTTACCCATTACTAGGTTATGAAAATAGAGATGCAAGTTAGGTTAGCTTCTGTTTATTAAGATAGAAAAGACAGAACAGAACAGGGTAAAAGGCAGTGATTATTTAGTTTGCTATTTTAGCCATGACATAGTATTTGTTATGAGCTACATGAAGGCCAATATATGTCTAAATGTTTCTGGATGGTAGATAATCATTATATGTGTGCCTGAAGTATAAGATAATTGTTTCTATACAAAACAACACACACAATAAGATATAATAAGCAATGTAAGTATCCACACTTACATTGGGCCTGGATATCTGAGAGACCACTTATCTTCAACTATTTCTGCCTGCCCAGTATGTTCCAGCAGAGTGGGTGCACTCCAGGTCCCCTCTATTAAACAATGCCATCTTGTGGGACCTAGGAAGTAGGCCTTCTGTGTTGTAACCCCCACCCCGGAATAGCATCCCCTCAGAGATAAGGATGGTGCCCTCTCTCCTGGGGTTCCGGAAAGCTTTGAAAATCTGGCTTTGGTCCCAGGTCTGGGGTTGATGTTGATTATTTGTTCAATGGCCCTTGTTTTGTTTTGTTGTTTTTGCTGTCTATTAGATTATTTTAGTTTGGGCTATCTGTGTGATTCAGTGTTTTTAACTGTTTTTATGTCTTCCTTAATTCTGTATGCCACCCAGAGTCCACTGGAGTTAGGCGGCCAATAAATTTAAATAAATAAATAAATAAATAAATAAATAAATAAAATAGGCATACTTTTTATTGGCATTGTGTCCTGCAGGAGTAGAAGCTTGTTCAAGATCTTGGTTAACAAGGCAGGTAGGAAAAGAGCATCCATCTCCTAGGCTGAAAGTTAATTTAAAAAAAAATTATGTAAGCAAGCTGCATTAAAAAGCTTTTTCAATGTTCAGTTTAAGTATTAGTTTTAAAAAATGATTTACTCCACATGATTTAATGTAGAAACAATGGTCTCTTAAATGCAGAACTCACCTGGTAAAAATTGGCAACAGCCAGTATTTTTTCTCATCTCCAAAGACTTCCCTTAGGTTTTTGTTGAGGCCCAAACTAAATCCATTTTTATCTGTTCCATGTCGAAAAATAGGTGCTCGGAATGCTTCTATAAGAGATTGTTACATTACAGTATTAACGTTTTCAAAGTAGCACACTCAAGGGACAGAGTGGTTTGTTGACAAAATAAAGTTCTAATTCCTTACCTAAAGTTGATTTATTTTTACTGACCAACCAGCAATGATAACCAAAGAGGGAGGATAAGCTAACTGAAAACATGGCTGCAGCAAAGAACAAAAACATAATATGGAACTTGGCTTGAGTATCAGGAAGGCCATTCTATAAAAAAAGAGAAAAAACAGTTGTTTCAGTGTTCTTTTAGGCACATAAATACATCTATTTAAAAACCAAGTTGGATCAATAATGACTTTGAGTATACACAATCTTCTTTTATTTTTGCCAGTGTTTTACAACCTTGCCAACTTTTAAAATGTGTGGACTTCAACTTCCAGAATTCCCCAGCCAGCATGAAGTCCACACAACTATGTTTCCAACTTTGAAAAACACTGATTTATACTATATCTATATTGGACCTATTTAAGTGCTGTAAATATTATTATGTGGAAAAAATAGAGGATTGTTTGAATGTGCCTTACAATATTGTACAAACACAGACACTGTAATTTGCAAACCATGGTTTGTACAAATCCAACTACAGGTATCTGTGATTATTTAAATCACAGTTAATTAATTTTTAAACAAATCACAACTAAATATGATGAGTGAACCAGGTTTATAAGTTGGAGCCAGATGAAGTTAATTGTACTCTGAAAATGAGTTCCAACCAGTTTTTTAAGTACTGAAAATACTGAAGGGACATAACAAGAACTTTATTTAAGCATCTGAAACAATAATTAACACCCACATCTAAAATACTGTACATGCAATATATGGGAGGAAAAAAAACCCTTCATATATTCCTGATGCTCTTGATCTATCTTGTCAAGCAGACTACAGTTGTAAAGACCAGCTTTATACAACTTCGAAAAACTATAGAGCTATGCAGACAGACTTTAAGCACACTCTAAACAATGCAGAGTATTCCAATTATTGACAACTACCAATAAATAATTACACCACAATGCCTGTTTCTGAAACAGAATCTTGTTCTCATTCAGTCAAGATAAAAATCAACACACAAACATAAAATACAAAATAAAGATTAAAACAGAGCTGCTACTAATTTATGAACATGAACAATTATATGTATGCTTATATGGAACTAAATCCCATTGTATTCAACAAGGACTCCATTTTAGAAATTATTTTAAGACATGTAACATAAAAGTAGCAATACACACACAGATAGATGGATAGACAGATAGATATAAAATTTTGAACCAGAAGATGAATTAAAACTTACTGTCCAGAATCTAATAAAATACTGTAAATCAGTTGCAACAATGAAAAGGCAGTATAACAGAGAGTAAGCCAAAAATAGAAGGAAAAACTTGTAATTTGAGAATCCAACACAGTTGTTCACCCTAGGAAAAGAGAATAGAAATTGCTGAAAATATGTACTTATGCACGGATGGATACACATACACACATATCATTCATAATATTCCTTTATTATTCTTATCAGCAAACACACTTCTGTTTCTCACAATGTCCTGTAAATTAAAATAATGCTTTAAATAAAGGATTTACATCAACGAACAGTATAACTCAAGGTAATATTACAAACATAAAAATGTAATAGTTGCAAAGATTAAAACAGAAAGATGAACTGGGCTTATTAAGATATTTTTCCAAGATTTCCCATAAAATCTACATAGCTTTTGAACTGGATTCAAGATTCACCCTAAATTTTGCATCTGTATTTTCAGATGAAATTTTTTTAAAAAGTATTTATTTTCATTACTCCTTCTCAGCTTTTGTTTTTTTTTTCTTGGAGTTTCTTATAAAAACTGGTTTCAAAGGCGTCCCACCTCATTGTGGTTATTCTTGTTGCAAGGTCATCATCTCCAGAATGATACACTATTTGCATCGGTTCTGACCAATGCTATTGTTTCAGCAACAAGAGTAAAAATAATTTTTTTCGCTGATAAAGACAGCCAATCCCTTAGTGTATTGATAATCATAATGACAAAATAACACATTACTTACCAGGGACAGTGATGATCCATTTTCAAAATACATCTTAAAAAGACAAACAATATAAATTATTTTATAGAATTCACAGTGAAATGTTAATCATATTGCAACAAAGCTTTTATGCCAAAGATAATCTTAACAGATTGAACAAGTTAATCCATAACTTCAAATAGTATAACTGGACCAGCATCTAAAGTAGAAATTTAATTTGTGTTTGAGCTGACTTTGATATCAATCATGACAACTTCCTTGCTTTGCTGTACTACAGAATCAGATGGCTGTCTAGTCTCTGCTCAGCACATCCAATAAACAGAGCCCCACCATCTCTCTAGTAATTAATTCTCCATTGTCAAACTTATCAATTGTTAGGATTTTTTCCCCTAACATCCAGTCACAATCTGCCATCCTATAACTTAAAGCCATTATTTTGTTCCCACTCTATTGAACAGTGAAGAACCTTCTTTTTTGTGACATTCTTTCAGGTATTTGTAGAAAGCTATCATATTCTCTGTTTTCTCAAGATAGAATATACCCAGCTCCCTCAATTCCTCTTCCTAGAATTTAATTGCTAGTCCCTGATCATACTTATTACCCTTCTCTGAATCAGTACAAATTCAGTACAAACTGGTCTGAATCCTTCCTTCCTCCTTCCTTCCTTCCTTCCTTCCTTCCTTCCTTCCTTCCTTCCCTTCCCTTCCCTTCCCTTCCCTTCCCTTCCCTAGCATATAGTCCCTCAACAGAGATTCTCTTGTCACTCTTCCCCCTTCCCCTGGTTGAATTCAATTGGCAAACTTGTTTACTCAGCATCATTCATGAAAGAAGTATTGGCAACACAGCATCTGTGCCTTCCAGAATATCTGGAAATCTTTCAATTAAGTTAACTGATTTGGAACTCTTGCAATATAGCCAAATCTCATGAGAAATCATGTTTTTGTATGGATTTTGGAGTATAATTACTGACTTTTGGGGTGAGGGGCAAAGAATGCCTGAAAAGTTGCCAATCACTACACTATACAGTTGGGAAAAAAAGTATTTAGTCAGCCACCAATTGTGCAAGTTCTCCCACTTAAAAAGATGAGAGAGGCCTGTAATTTTCATCATAGGTATACCTCAACTATGAGAGACAAAATGGGAAAAAAAATCCAGAAAATCACATTGTCTGATTTTTAAAGAATTTATTTGCAAATCATGGTGGAAAATAAGTATTTGGTCACCTACAAACAAGCAAGATGTCTGGCTCTCACAGACCTGTAACTACTTCTTTAAGAGGCTCCTCTGTCCTCTACAGAAAACGTTTGACCTCTGTCATTGCCAACAAAGGATATATAACAAAGTATTGAGATGAACTTTTGATATTGACCAAATACTTATTTTCCACCATGATTTGCAAATAAATTCTTTAAAAATCAGACAATGTGATTTTCTGGATTTTTTTTCCCATTTTGTCTCTCATAGTTGAGGTATACCTATGATGAAAATTACAGGCCTCTCTCATCTTTTTAAGTGGGAGAACTTGCACAATTGGTGGCTGACTAAATATTTTTTTGCCCCACTGTAAGAAAATACAGTAAGAATGAGAAGGATATATAATAACATTTCTGAAATTACTTTCCACAAGCAAGAGAAGGATATTATAATAACATTTCTGAAATTACTTTCCACAAGCAAGAGAAGGATATTATAATAACATTTCTGAAATTACTTTCCACAAGCAAGAGAAGGATATTATAATAACATTTCTGAAATTACTTTCCACAAGCAAGAGAAGGATATTATAATAACATTTCTGAAATTACTTTCCACAAGCAAGAGAAGGATATTATAATAACATTTCTGAAATTACTTTCCACAAGCAAGAAAAATTACAGGCCTCTCTCATCTTTTTAAGTGGGAGAACTTGCACAATTGGTGGCTGACTAAATATTTTTTTGCCCCACTGTAAGAAAATACAGTAAGAATGAGAAGGATATTATAATAACATTTCTGAAATTACTTTCCACAAGCAAGATCTAAGTAAGTTCTTAGAATGTTTATGTTTGTAGTAAATACAGTAACATTCCATTTAATCTTAAGTGCTGCAATTGGGAACTTTAATAAACTATTACCAAGTAATATCTTAGTTGCAGTTCCTTTTTTCAAACTAACTTACTTTTGAATAATGCAACCCTCATAAGGTATAGATGATTACACATACCTTCAATATATATGAAAATGTGACATGGCAAAAATTCAAACAGTGTATGCATTCACTCAGGAGTTTAACAAAAATTGTTCTTCCTTCAGTATAGTTATAGAACAGGTATATACCTCAGTACCTTCTAAAAGTCTCAAAGAGAAGTTGATTACTAGCATCAAGCTAAATACAAAATCCCACACCAGAGATATAAACTGTCACTCAGTCATATGTCTCTATGAGATTACTGGATTATTCACGGATGTAAATAGTAAAAAAACCCTTCATCTTGAGACGTTACTTAGCTTTGCAAGTATTTGTAATATTTCTTACTTATCACAGACAGAACAGTGATGGCAACGATCTGGTTTTATAAGTTGGCATCTATCACAGTATCTGATTGCTGTAAAAACAGAAAAAGACTTATGTTTACTCTCCATGCTGCATTGTGCACATTTTCTGTTAAATTCTGCAAGTCCCAGACAACAGCAAAAAGTATGTAACAAAAAACCATTTTAACACCAATCTCATGTTTCTTTTTTGGATAGAAAAAAGAAATGATGTCATTATTATAATTCTACCATGTGAATCAGGGCACTGAGTACAAAGAGACATATTCATAGATGTTTGTGCATAGGATTACTGTTTAGCTAAAACATTCTAACCCTATTCTTGAATAATGCAAAAAATCTGCCAATTTTAGTAACCTTAGTACCAAGAGTGTACTCATAGCTCTTAACAAATATTTGGCAATTAATCAGCTGTTTGGCAAGCAAATGAAGAGACTATCAGGTCCTTTTACCAGTAGCTAGTCAAACTTACCAACAATCATTTGATAAAACTGTGATCTATAGCTCCAGCTGCTACATGAAGCTTTAAATTATGCAGAGTTCTCCTAAGAAACAATCTCTACACTCGACAGGACTGGAAGTGCATTAAAATCATCAGCCTATTCAAATAGCTATACAACTGATCCAGAAAGGTACCATGATCAAGAAAGTCTGCTAAGAGGGCCAAAGGATTGTTTTATTTTACACAGTGAAAGTTTTCAAGCAAGGCAGTCTTAATATAAAACAATTGGGGTGATGCTGGATTGAATTCAAGTTAGGATTTTTAAAAAATGAAATATAATAATATAAATATTTTAATATTAATATTTTCAACTCAATAACAACCTTTGCTTTAATAATTGTTTTTCTTTAAATACTTTGGCATAATTTATAGAGGTGAGCAAAACAATCCAACATTATTTCAAGTTTTCTACCCCAAATTTTGAATGTTTTTTTCCTAAGTAACCATTTCATTCCACTTTGTTTCAAGAGTTTTGACATACTATGATAGGCTTTGATTTTTTTAAAAAAAATTCAAGTAATTGAAATTTGGAAAGTCTGCTAGGCAAGATTCTATCTCTGCTGCCATCAGTTGGAGCTAGGCTAGAGAAGTTGCTGGGGTGGTTTCATGGAGTTGTTAAACAAACATTTATAGACAGAGAATAATTTTGGATGGCTCCTTAATAGAGAGACAGAAGTTGGAGATCACAGATCACTCTAGGTGAACATTTTGAGAGCAGTCTCACAAAATTGGTGCCACAGTACACCTGAGTTTACTAGACACTAATTTAAAAGAAGAATGTTAGTTGCTCTTTGTCATTCCCTCTAGCCTATCAGCATGTTCCCTACCTTGGTCTCTTTCTGACAAGTAGAGTTATTTCAAGCAAATCACTGGGTTGTAACCACCTACCATTTTTATTTAATATGCAACTTGTATTTATTTTATAATGCAACTTATAGATTTCATATGGATACTCTTAACTTAGTTCTCTTAAATAATCAGCAGGACATCATTCTTGACAAATATTTACCTCCAGACATTGTTCTTGTACTGATAGGTAGGTCCTTGGCTGCTCTCTTCAACACTTCTTGATGGGTTTCATTTCTAGGTTCTCTATCCATCAATTCCTTGTCTGCATAGCTCAGATGAAACTAGGAAATAATGCAAATCTTGAATTATTGTTTATTCATAGTATAGTAATAGATTACATCTATTTAATTTAAAAGGCACAATTATATTGCAGATAACTCAAGTTGCTGGAATCCTTTAGACATTTACCTAAACATGGGAAGATTTGAAACTAAATAGAGAACAATGCTTTGCACGCTAACCTAGCTGCTACTTTCCCCAGTCTCTGTTAATTCATCTAGGAGATCTAAAGGAAGGCTGTAATCACATTTGCTTGTATAAGAAAATATAAGTTTCCCCATAATTAAGGATCTGATTAATTAAAGCCTGGACTGTGCTAAGAGTTTTTTTTCCCAAGGGAGACTCTAACAAGCTATCTTTCCCATATTGCTAAGTGAAATTGGTAGGAAGGAAGTACATTCATATTCTTTTTTAAAAATCAAATGTAATAGTGGACAACTATTTAAATTTACAGTTCTAGATCTTTTGATTTAATTTTGTAGTACTGAGAATCAGAACAATCAATCTGTCTTCCCTACAAAAATGATAGAATAATTCTCAGATACTAAAACTAGATTTGTGCTTAAAGTGCATTAGTGCCTTTAAGAAGCGATCTAAAAGGCAATCTGAAAATGAGGTTAAAAGACAATCTTGTTGAGAGTCAAGGAGAGGAGTCCTTGGATAAAGCAGAGTATTATCAGCAATGTATTATATTATTTAATGAAAGAAGTGGCCCTTTACAAGTGATTAGAAAACTGCTATACATAGGTTTAAATCAACATTTTAAAATAATGCTTTATTATTTTATATTTGTTAAATAATTTTAAAAAATAGCAGGTCTGCCTTGAGAAACAAAAAGGATTTTCCCTGTTTCCTTTACTAAAATCAAACAATAGTATTACTTTTTTCTATTTATACATGTATAAACTGTAATGTAATATATTTTTCAAGTTTATTTAACAATATGCTACTTAGGAATATGTTAATATTATTTCCACCACAATTAGGTGAGCTCATGGCTCTTGCATCTGATGATCAGACTTGGGAAATTCAGTATCAAGGAAGTGAATATACTTGTCTGGGAGGGATTTTTTCCCCTTTTATATGCCACTTCTTATTTCTGTAATAGCAAATTAGGAAAAAAGAGAATATGTATATGAGAGAACATGCAATATAAGCTGATGTTTTTCACATAAATGTTAAAAGATTTGACACTATCATTAAAGTACACATGTTGGTAGCATGTGTCTTTCAGATGAACAGATGGAAAGTTAGAGAGAATATATTCACATGAGATGTTATTTACTGAATACACATCGAAACTTTGTGCACCAGAAAGAAAATTAACAAACATGTTTTTTTTCTTGCACAAAATTATAACTTACTTCTTTGGAAGGATTCATTGGTAATGTAAAGATTGTTTTCCAGTAAGACCACAAAAACATCATGAAAAATAGATGATACGCAATCAGGCACACCACTAAAACAAGATCATAAAATTAAGGCATTAACCAATGACAGAAAGTGCATAATACTGTCAGAAATATACAGACAACCAAAAAAAAAAAAAAAGCCAAACATTCCCAACAGTTCACAATAAAGAACAGTGCTATCACAACACCAACAGAACTATAAAATAAAGGCTGTTAAAGAAGCTACACAGCACTACCAGAAAGTGTTCAGACAGAAAACACTGTAAGGAATAAAACAATTGTAAGGAATAAAATTCTGTATATTTTATGTCATTTGATCTTTTAAATATCTATATCTGTATCCTTTGGAATGGGTCTGATGGAGGCAAGAGAATCTTCTTATTATGTCTATAGCATGATTGTTATGCACTGTGTTTTATACAATAAGAACAGAAACCCAAGAGCCCCGTTCTATCAGATCAAAGACCAATTTCTGTCCTATTTTCAACAAGACCAATTACTCTTCTATAGCAGCTAATGTTCAGAGATACAGTTCCTCTGATTCTGAAAGTAATAAACAGGCATCAGGATTAGTTTAAAATAAGGTATTCAATAGCTACTAATCTGTCTAATGCCTTTAAAAATCATCTAAGTTGCTGGTCCTCATCATAGTTTTGCTGTAGTGAATAATATAATTTACCTATGGATGGGGTAAAGGAGGTAACTTTCTGCCCCAAGAAGTCTACAATTTAACAGCTAGCATAGAGAAGATACGTATAAAAAAATAGCTATTACTTACTTTTTTCTCCAATATTTGTTATTGTTACTGCAAGAGAGGAAAGGAGGAAAGATATAGTGTGACATTATTTGGACACAGAAAAAGCACTCTCAGTTTCTTGAATACATATATACCTATCTTTGAATGATAATATAAATAATTTATTTTGCATTCCTACATTGCACTTAGTTGAATTAAATATTGCTTTTGAATAAGACCTTTGCAGATCTTTTAGCAGGGAGTAAAACAAAGGAAAAAAATCTTAGGAAACCCAAGAAAGAAAGAAAGAAAGTTTGAACAAGTCTTGTCAGAAGCAATATACTAGAAGAGAAAATAGATAATATAACTGTGATAATAAAGGGAAAGATCAGGAAAATTTAGCAATAAGATATTCGGCACACATAAGAAGTCAAATCTTCTTTGAGTTGAGTTCAATTCCTGATGACTTCAGTAGCATGTTCATATAGATTTTTTGGCAGTTATATGGATGTGGATTGCCATTCCCTTCTTCTGGGAAGGGTTCCCACTGCCCCAGCTTTCTTATATTTCCTGGTGATCTCTCACCCAAGTGTTGATATGGTCTGACTTATCATCTTAGGATCAGCCAAGTATAGCTATAAGACCACTGCTAAAATCACTGACTGGCTTCTGTTCTACTATCAGGAGAACTTTAATTTTAAAGTTTTAAAATTTTGATTTTAATATACAGTGTCCTAATGGACTTAAATCAGGGTAACTGAAATAACATCTTTTGCAGACATTTAGGTGACCACTCAGTCATCAGTGGAAGATCTCCAGGATATGCCAGAGCCAACAGAAATAAGACTTCTCCTATGAAACATCTCTATAAAGATAAAACATATACCAATTTTATTACAATTTAGGCGCATATTAAAAATAGTTTTATTGACCCTGGCATTTGATACCTCAGGATAATATATTCCTGGAAATCTAGATATGATATTTGTATGTAAATATTTTAAATAAATGAAGAGAAAGTAACATGAAAATAAGAGGAATTCTTGAATAGATGTAAAGACATGAGTAGAATGGATATTTCAAAACTAATTTTGAAATATGTGTGTGTTAAATTGGCAAAAATATGTCCTTATATTAAAAATATTCAAATCTCTTAAATTTCAGTAATTTCATCTTTACAATCTCAAATGAGTACACTAAAAACTTTTGAGATTCAATATTCTTCCCTGACATCTTGCAAAACTTTGGTGCCTAATAAATTGTTTTCTATTAAAAGTTCCCTTCACTGGGATTTTAATGGAACCCACTGTGTGTGTGTGTGTGTGTGTGTGGAGGACATGCTGGTAAAGTATTTTTTACAGTAACCTCACTTTGGTTACTTTAATTCATTTGTGTATTGTTTTATTTTGTTCACTGCTCAGAGTTCCTTCAGTAGATGGGCAGCTATATACTGCACATTTGTTAAATAATACATTAAGAAACAGTGGGGTTAAATTAGAAGGAAGTCAATTTCAGTTGGACATCAGAAAAAATATGCTAATAGTATGAACTGCTGAACAGAGGAACAGACTGCCTCAGGAGAAATGGTTGACTCTCCTTTGCTGGAAGCATTTAAACAGAGGCTGAATGGCCATCTGTCATGGCTGCTGTAATACTGGGTTCCTACACCGAGCAGAGATTTAACTATATTATCTCCATAGTACCTTCCCAACCTTACATTCAATGATTCTATAAAATACTAATTATTAAAGAATGAAATGTTTATATTTGATCAATCATTTTACAGAATGTCCAATTACTAAGAAGAATTGATAAAGTATAGCTGGTTTTGGTTTCTGATAGTTACTGAGATTTTGCTTTCTCTGTATGCAATCCAAAGAAGCAAACAAGGAACATTCATTTGTAAGGACTACTTGGCATATTTACTCATTTCCATATACAATAAAGATTATGATTATCCTGAGGCAAAGCAGCTAGGTGTGGTCTCCATGTTTGAACATACTTTATCCCTAAATATCAGATGATACTCAAATATCAACTTCTCTCATTTTGCATTGCTGCCAAATTCTCTGTAGAGATAAACCAAACCAAAACAGGAGAGTCATACTATAGAACTGAACTAGCAGATTGTGACATAAAAGTTAGATCACACCCTTGAAAAAGGTAGCAACAAGAGTCAGTCTACGATTTTCTTGTTTGCTTTTTCACATTTGAAGAAAAAGAAAGAAAAAAAAAACTTGAGGGTGTGAGAAGGCAGGGAGAAGTGAGGGCCTCAAACGAACCATGTTTGCTAGGGGAGAG